AGATGATACTCCCTTTGGTTGCAGGAAAACGTGTTAGAAGCAAGGTTGAAAAAGATCTCCACTCCAAAAGCCAAGAATCACCCGAAAATCCACTTGAAAGCCTTCAATCTTCTCTACGAAATCAAAGTAGGGTTTGGGGGGTTTTGGTGGCTGTTAGGGTTCTTAGAAAAACTAAGAAAATCTTGAAAAACTCATATATATCAGGGAAAAACAGATATGGGTTTAGAAATCCGAAACCAACTCAAAACAGAAGAAAAACAAACTGCAGGTATCGCGGTCGACCGTGGCAGTTGACCGGGCTACGGCCGACCGCGGCGGTCGACCGGACTGGGATTTTCCAGTTTCTCATGAGTTTGGCCATTTGTACATGTTTCAACTCTTCTATCTCTCATGTATGAACTCGTTCATACTCAAAACACATGGTATTATACTTATATACCAATAAATGATATTTATCATACTAAATATCCACATATCATAATTTATCACACATTAATTTTATTATTCATAAATTATCGGGGTTTTACATAGCAGGTATATCTTGAGCACATAAAAGTCCTATTTGAATGCATCTCAAAACTTCATTTATTGAAGAAATTTCACCTATAGATGGGTCAAGGATCTCTAATTCTCTTCCATTTCTCCTGTGCTCCCATGTCTGCATAAGGAGGTGTTATGTTAATTTACAGTCACCAATAGAATTAAGCATGAATAGGATTGCTATAACACACTTGTGCGTGCACACAAACACACACGCACACGCAAAAGAAATTGACTCTTAACATCCGTTAAACTAATTTCATTGAGTGGATCCGCACTTTTGTTTGGATTCTGATTTGATTGTCAAACTAGTTACTATGACTGAGGTTTCTATTGCATGATTAATTTATTCTTAGCGTGACAGGAAAAACTGAATAACGATACTTTTGTAATCCTTTTACTCAATCGTTCTGCGGCAAATAGGTTTCATCTCCTTATTTTCAGATACATATAGAACAACATTATTCAATATGTGTTTAGCAATTTATCTCATGTCAAAAGTGTGTCAAAAGCGTGTCCTCTTCTGAAGTTCACCATCATCCCAGGTGTTAAACAATTACTAACATCATAGTCTATCATCAGAAGGTCATGAGATCTACTCGACAAACTAAAACCAAGCCAAACAAACATGCACAGCCAAAGCAGACTGGCGGTCGACCGTGGCGGTCGATCGCGACGGGTCAAGAGACTACCCAGGTCTCTGTCCTGCACGCGGTCGACCGTGGCGGTCGACCGTGAACCCTGTTTCTAGTTTTTCAAACTGGTTGTGTGTGTGTCGTGTTCATGTCGTGTTTTCTCGATGTAAACATGTCTAAATCTTCATAAAATTTGTATGCAACCATGTCAGAGCAGATATGAACATCTGAAAACAACTCAACAATTATAAACATAATTTTATGTATTTGATTTGTATTCAAAACCCTAAAACATGCATAAAAGATCAAAACAATGAATCAAACTTCTTTCTTCAGATTAACCACGTTTTAAAATCATCTTTAGGTCTTAAATACTTCTGTAAAAATCGTTCTCAACCTTTTTAGCATAGAAAGACCTAGTCTCTTTACATATAATACAAAAGAAGATGACTTTATTCATAAACTAGTCATTTAGGCTCTACAAAACAAGTTTAAAACTCTTTAATAATGTTTTGAAAACTAGGAGGGGGATTAGCAGAGATGATACTCACCTTTGGTTGCAGGAAAACGTGTTAGAAGCAAGGCTGAAAAAGATCTCCACTCCAAAAGCCAAGAATCACCCGAAAATCCACTTGAAAGCCTTCAATCTTCTCTAAGAAATCAAAGTAGGGTTTGGAGGGTTTTGGTGGCTGTTAGGGTTCTTAGAAAAACTAAGAAAATCTTGAAAAACTCATATATATATCAGGGAAAAACAGATATGGGTTTAGAAATCCGAAACCAACTCAAAACAGAAGAAAAACAAACTGCAGGTATCGTGGTCGACCGTGGCAGTTGACCGGGCTACGGTCGACCGTGGCGGTCGACCGGACTGGGATTTTCCAGTTTCTCATGAGTTTGGCCATTTGTACATGTTTCAACTCTTCTATCTTTGATTGGTTCGGATTCGATTTGTTGACCTGATTTGGCAGTAAATCTGGATCCCGATTAGGCAGTAAATTCGCTTCTTAGTTTGAGTCCGAAACCGATCTTGATTCGATCGTCATTCATCCGAGTATGCCTTTGGTTGGATGACTCGTTGATTGATTCTGCACGCGGGTGGATTCATTCCGTCGCTTCCGTGCGATTCGTCGATCTCGTCGCCTCGTTGGCTCGTCGGTTTGTGCCGAGCTATGCTAGGGGACCTATAAGCAATTTTATATGCCTACAAATAGAATTAAGCATGAATAGGATTGCTATAACACACTTGTGCGTGCACACAAACACACACGCACACGCAAAAGAAATTGACTCTTAACATCCGTTAAACTAATTTCCTTGAGTGGATCCACACTTTTGTTTGGATTCTGATTTGATTCTCAAACTAGTTACTATGACCGAGGTTTCTATTGCATGATTAATTTATTCTTAGCGTGACAGGAAAAACTTAATATAGAAAGACTCCCTCTTGTTTCATGTTTTGTAGCGGTTACATGAATTATAACAAATCTATAGGTAGCAAATCTTTGATAACATCTTCAGTTTCTCATTTGTTCAAGATATATATAATGGGAAAACCGGTTACAAAACTAAAGTGACATTGTTCAAGATATATATATGGAAATTCATTATTGATAATTGCGTTGTAGGATGAATTTTGCTTCGGAAACTCAAAATGGGGAAGAGTACTCTTAAGATGGTGAGAGGGCAAAAAAGGCTAGGTGTGACTATGTAATATGGTCAAAGCAAGAGAATAGAGAGCTACTAAGGCTTTAGTGGAGGAGGTAAAGAATGGCAACAAGATGGATAATGGCAACTTCAAGAAATATACCATCACACAAAATGTGTTGCTATTCATGAATGCTAAATTTGGAAGAACTTTTAAATTTGATCATGTCAAGAATAAGATCAAGAGAAAGATTGAACCAATTGAATTACTATTGAGGAACAATTCCGGGTTTGGTTGGGACCCAATATCTCAAAGAATTACTTGCTCTGTTGAGGTGTGAGAAAATTACAAACAGGTTAGATTTTGCATTACCCAAAGTTTCTTACTACATAATATATTGTTATGTTTCCTAATTACAAAAAAAGAAAAAATTAATTTGTTATCTTTGCTTTTTGACAGGCTCATCCTAATACACCAATGCTTAAAGATAAGTTGTTTGAAAGTTTTTAGGATATGCAGATGGTTGTGGGTAGCCACTCAGCTAGTGGGAGAGCAGCTGGAGGCTTAGGTTGTGAGAGTGTAGAGAGTGTGCCATTACATAATGCATTAGGTGAGGGTATATTGGATAAAGACATTGGACATATCCTATGGGGCTGAAAGCAGAACCTAGCCCAACCACAGTAGCATCTTACCACACCTCCCGTTATAGCAACGCCAGGTCCTACCACTTCCCGTGGCTGGAATCTGTTCATCACCTCTAAGCACTAAGGAATGTTCGGAGAGCCACCTCCCGCACCACCACTCTCTGCATTGTCTCAACCCCCCGCAAGAACATGGCCAGCATGGAATTACATTATAAGTAGGCTTTACAAAGAGTTAGTCACAGAGGGTGAGGTTGTGAAACCGCAACCAACGTGTCGAGGGAAGTGCTTCAAATCAGAATTACGATCGAAGAACGATTAACTGTCTTTAGTCAAAATATTCTCAAGACGTGAAGGATATATGTTTGTTGAAGTGAATGATGATCAAAGGAGAGGTTATGATTTGCGTCTGACTGGAGATTATCCAAATGCACGATAATATGCTTATTACATGACTATTATGTTATACGCTTGCGAACATAGACTGGAGTTCTATGCTTTTGGGAACATAGATGTTAAGCACGATACATGTTGTGACTTGTATGCCTTTTGGACTTATATGCTTTGGACTCTGTATGCTTTCTGGATTATATGTTTTCTGGACTTTCACACTCAACCATGAACTTATATATCTGTGTAACTGTATTTGTTCATTATACCACAGGTTGAGGCTGTACTCTATCTAATATATCTGTATTAAAATCTCTACTATTATTTGGATCTCGTTTCCTAATACAGGATGGAAGATAATCAGAAATGTCTCATTTGCTATTGTATGAGTGGTACTACTGATAATCTTCTCATTTGCATTATCAACATGACCGGCTTTTGCACAAAAAATAGGAGGTTTAGTTCAATGAGTATCTCGCACCTCATATCACAAGAGGAGATAAATCTACCCATTTCCCAACTCAGACATGGCGTTACGGACCTTGACCTTTAATATTTGAAATTTAAGATGGATAGCAATCCACGTGATTTTCGTCGAGTATACCGTATGTATCCGGATTGCTTTATGAAATTGTGTATGGTCTTGCGAGAACGTGGGCATTTACAAGATACACGGTATATCAGCGTTGAGGAGATGGTTGCTATTTTCCAACTCACCGTTACTCAAAATCAACGATATTGCATCACCACTGAAAGGTTTGTTCGATCCTGATTTGCCGACAGTGTTTGTTTCAATAAGGCACTACAGGCCCTTGTGTCATTAGCCCCTTGTATGGTGGCTCCTCCTCCTACCGATCCACCAGAAAAGGTCACATCAGAATCTCGTTTTTAGCCTTACTTCAAGGTATTAAAATTTAAATACACTATATAAGTCTTCATTCATTGTTATTATTATAATTTTAAAGTCACATTTCATATATGTTAATGGGAATATATAGGACTGTATTGGAGCTATTGACGGGACCCACATTCTATGTATGGTATATGGCGAGGACCAAACTTCATACCGTAATAGACATGACTATCTTTCTCAAAATATCCTTGCAGCATGCACATATGATCTTAGGTTTATTTATGTCTTAGTGGGATGGGAGGGATCTGCCAATGACTCACGCGTCCTGAAGGATGCAATGAGTAGAAGTGCATGTAGTCTTCCACTTCCAAATGGTAAATTTTTTTTTATCAATTTGTTAGATTTTATATTTATTGATTATAATTCTAAAGAAATGTTAATGCAGGTAAATTTTATCTAGTTGATTGTGGTTACCCAAATAGGCTACAATTTTTGGCTCCCTATCGGGGTACGAGGTACCACCTTAAAGAGTTTGGCCCAGCTAACAACCGTCAGCGACCACGCAATGCTCATGAGCTATTCAACCATCGACATTCATCACTTAGAAATTGTATTGAACGTATTTTTGGCATTTTTAAGTCTAGGTTTACAATTTTTAAGTCTCAACCTCCAGGTTTTCCATATGACACTCAAAAAAGTATGATCTGGGCATGTATCGGTCTACATAATTTTCTGAAGATGGAGAACTCCAACGATGACTTTGAAGTTTCTGATCTTCCTCCAGAGGCACCACGCAATGTTGCTCCGATTGATGGTGATTCTGATGAGGACGATGACCTACAAACTCAACAAGCACAACGGATAGCTGTATCACGTTGGAGAGAACAAATGGCAAACACAATGTGGGAGGATGGGACAAACATAGCCCAAGGAGTCTAGAGCAAAGTTATATGCCGGTAGATTATATTTGTAATAATTAAGATTTAAGTTACCGACTGAGACTTTATTTGTAATAATTGAGACTTTATCATCATCATCATTGTAATTAGATGTATGAATGATTAAATAATTATTGCAAAAAAAAATTTGTTAATCTAGCATAATAGTTTAATCATTTAATGTTATATCAAGTTAAACTTGAATTTAATTGAGCTATAAATATAATATTATAAAAAGATGTCATACTAAAATTGTCCCACTCAAATTGTCCCATTACCCCATTTTACCCCACTTTATCCCACTCAATTATCCCATTGGGTAAAATTACGCCATTGGAACAATTTACCCCAAATTACACCAAATTACACCAACGAATAACCCCCCCACCCCTCTTAGAGCTCAATATCACACATATACACAATTCTTGATTTTGAGCAATTTTGACAAAATATTAAGTTATTGGTTTTTGGACTTAACAATCATTATATACATCTTTTATTAAGTCTATAAAATTATTTTATAAGGTTTCAAAATATTATTTAACTCAATAGTCAAAAATCAAGAAGTTTATGTACACATGTATTTACAAGTTTTACAAAATAGTAAGTTTTCATAAATACGAACTGATATATTAAAAAAAATTCCCTCTTTAACATGTTTGTTTTCATTTTTATAAAAAATTTCCAAAGTTTTTCTGGATTTTGGAATTAATTTGTTATGTTTAATTGAATTACAAAATCAAGTTTTAAATAAGTTCATGTTTGTGCACATGTTCGTGCATGATTTCAAAAAACAGATGAGTTTTCATAAATAGGAAATGCAACTTTGAAAATTTATTTTTCTAGCATGTTCTATTACATGTTTATAACAATTTTCCAAAATGTTTTTGGAATTGATTTACTGTATCAAATTGATTTTACAAAATCGGGTGTTTCAGCAGTTTTTAGAATCTAGAATATATGTGTTCAAATAATTATTTCTCTCAACTGTTAAGTGAAATTTAAGACATTCATTTTTAACACATTTACCTACATGTCTAGAAACTTCTCTAAAAATTTCATGACTTTTGGAGTTGATTTACTAATTTTAATTGATTTTACAAATCCAGATACATAAATTTCCAAACTCTGTCAAAACCTGTAACCATCTTATAAGTCGACTGATCAGCTGACCGTTGCAAAGTAACGACTAGTTTCTGATTTTTATTTATTTTATTGTTTTTGGGTGATTTACTTGGGTTTTGGGCTTAGTTTTTTCATCCTATATATACCCTGTTTCCATCGAAAGTTGATGTATTCATTGCGGTATTCATTACAACTTCAGTCGTTACAATGAAAACAAAAAGATAGTCTTTTTATAAGACTTTTACACAATAAAAACAAAACTTTACAACTCTCGTCAAAACAAACGTAGGGAGATCGTTTATCGGTCTTCTGCTTGCGTGGGATCTTTGCCCGTGTCGGGGTTTATCCATGGACCGCCTTTGATCTGGATCCGGTTGATAGAAAATTCGGCAGAGCTTCGCCTTCACTGAGGAAGTATTTGATTTGAAGCGTTGAGATCGACCAAGCAAAATCAGTATCTCTTCTCGAGATTAAGACCAAGCCTAATCTCGAGGAACGGACGGGAACGGGTGTCAGATCTCTCAAACTCTCCTTCTTTATGCCGAAGAACTCGCCAAGATCTGTCAACCCTCACTGAAATTCGTGCTCCTTTGACTCCACAATCCGGCAGCACCTCTTCCTCTTGATAATTGATCCCCCCTCTGAAAGGAGGCCCTAGGCTTGTATTTATAGGGCTCCGGATGAGGGTTTGTGGATGAGAATGAGTGATTTGGCCTTATCTTCAGTCAATAACCACCTAACCACGTTTGGGGATGATATCAAGTCAGTTAGGACCTCCTGGAACAGATAAATCCCCAGAAAACCGTCAAAAAACCGAACAGGGGACGAAACAGCGCGCGTGGGCAAGTCTGACCCGCGCTGGCACGGGTCGGCTTGGTCCGACCCGCACGGGCGTGGGTCGGCTTTGTCCGACCCGCTCCACCACGGATCGGACTTGGCCGACCCGCGTGGACGCGGTCTGACCCGCGCGGACGCGGCGCAGTGTTTTGATGTTTTGCTGAGCTCTGGTGTTTTTTGGTCTTTCCGGGACTTGTATTTTCCACCGTTTTGAGTAATTGATCGTCTTGTTGACTTGTACGCTTCGTTGCGGAACCGACCATCGAACGTGTGTTGATTGACGCACACGTGTTGATTGACGCATGCGCACGAATTGGTTGACGCGCGCGTGTTGACCGACGCATGCAAACTGATTAACGTGCGTGTGTTGACCGACGTGCACGAACTGACTGTCACGCGTGTGTTGATCGACGCATATGAACTGATTGATGCGCGCATGTTGATTGACACACGCGAGCTGATTGGCGGGTGCGAGCTGACTGTCGAGCGCGTAGGTCACTTGATTCGCCGTTTTGCTTCAGGCGCTTGTCGGTGTCAGATAATCCTCTTAGACTCAGATAACGACATTCGTCGTCTTCTTTCCGTCTCGAGCTATGATCGGGGACCTATAGGCAATTTTTGACGCCTACAAATACTCCAAAGAATTTCAGACTCGTTCTTTTATAGGGGAGTCTGGAATGCTTTGGACAGGATAGGCCCTTTCCTCGATCTCGTAGAGGGTCCTGTGAACTGCTTCAATTCTTAACTCCTTCAGCCTTAAGTCTATTCAGTGTTTTGTCGAATAGATGAAGTTCTTCCGGTGCTGTGTTTATCGTCTGACCGTTGCCGAAATCTTGAATTGAAGTTGATGTGTAAGTTTCTGAACTTAGCTCGTGCCGTTGAGTTGACTTTGAACTGATCATCTTCGTCAGAAATTCATATCTGAATGCGATTGAACTCCCTGAAATTATCGTTCGCCTTATTTTGGTGAGATTGCTGAAACATTGACCGGCATCGATCTTTGCTGTAACGCGTTGACCGGCGTTAACATAGTTTGTACTCATATGTTTGCTGGAGTCTACACAGTTTAAGCTCTTAAGATGTTGGAGCATGGCGGTCCCAAATATTGGGCTGCAAGACCAACTATTAAAGCTGATTCATCTGCACGTGTGGATCTTATCCTAAATTTGTTAGATGTCCAAGTCACGAGACCAACTAATGGGGGTGGTGCGTCAGTGACTTTCGCATATGTAGGATTTTTGGAAAATCCTCAGCCATCAATGGGTTTGATAAGCCTTTACCGACTACCGTTTGATTCGGGCTAGCATGCGAATTGTTTAAGTCCGTTCCGCATGTAACGTTATGCTAAAAGAGTGAACTCTTTTAGAGCTACGATATTGAATACCTAGACTTCGTCTTTCTCCTGTGAAAAGACTAAACAGCAACGTGTATCAGACGTAGACTTAGGATCTTTGGCAAATCCTCAGCTTTCAACGGATTTGACGTGCCTTTACCGATTACCGTTTGAATCGGGCTTGCGTGCGGATTGTTTAAGTCTGTTCCGCATGTGACGTTGTGCTAAGAGAGTTAACTCTCTTAGTGCTACGATATTGAATATGTAGACTTCGTCTTTCTTACGGGACTAGACTACCTGGCGACGCGTGTTAGGCGCTGACTTATCCCTACTTAGGCTTCGGGATAAAATTCCCCGTACGTGTGATGCACGGATTTTGGCGTTATGAATAACGACCTGCCACAATGTCGAATATGTGGGCTTTTGTTCTTTTTACGGTTAAGAACTAACCGGAAACACGTGTTAGGCGTTGACTTATCCCTGCTCAGGATTCGGGATAAAATTCCCCATACATAAAAGGCATGGATTTTGTTGCTACAATGCTGAATACGTAGACTCGGTCATTTTTACGGGAACGAACCACCCAGCAACGCGTGTTAGGCGTTGACTTATCCCTACTCAAGATTCGGGATAGAATTCCCCATGAATAAAAGGCATGGATTTTTGTTGCTATGATGCTGAATACGTAGACTCGGTTAATTTTTACGGGAACAAACCACCCAGCAACGTGAGTTAAGCGCTGACTTATCCCTACTTAGGCTTTGGGATAAAATGCCCCAGACTGGATTCTGGTATCTTTTTCAATCGGTGAAAGACTAAACCGGCAACGCATGTTAGGCGTTGACTTATCCCTACTCAGGATTCGGGATAAAATTCCTCGGGCATGTGAGGCCCGGATTTTAGGAGTTTGAAAAAGTGGTGTCTTCTCCTGGGGCAAAGACGAACCCGATGCGGGAGAGGAAGAATTTTATATTCTATCTCCCAAAGATGAAGAGGAAGAAGTTTATATTCTATCTCCAGTCATAAAAGGAAACTCAAAGTGGGATCTCCACTTCAAGAGTCTGGAAAGGTGAAACTAAGAGTGGGATCTCCACTCCGAGAATCAAAAAAGATTCGGATAATCCTAACTGTCGGAAGGTTTGATTATCAAACTAAAGATGAATTTCTCGTTTATCAAGAGTGAATTGTAGTTTTGGTCCTTACTGTAGGAGGGTTTGACCAAATGGGAGTTTGAGGTGATCCTAACTGTAGGAAGGTTTGATCACTCGATTTGAAAGTGGACCTCTCGTTCATGGGAAGGTTTGATCACTCGATTTGAAAGTGGACCTCTCGTTCATGGAAGGAATCGAGAGGGGATTTTGGTCGTGGTCCTAACTGTAGGAAGGTTTGACCAAGTGAACAGTGGGAGTGGGAGTACAAATCACAGTGAGA